TATATATATATATATATATATATATATATATATATATATATATATATATATATACACACACACACACACACAGCATTGCAATATTTAATACAAAGGGTATGTTGCAGCAAGATTATGGAGATAAACATTGTTCCCATAAGGTGAATTATTTATGTTTTTAGGCTAACAGAAACTTTTGTGTGTGTGTGTGTGTGTGTGTGTGTGTGTGTGTGTGTGTGCGCGTGTGCATCAGAGATAAGAAAGGATGTAGCTTTCTAAGAGTATTTTTGATTTGTTGTGCCGAACATGAACAGTGGCATACAGCAACCTGCTTGTGGTGGGGTCATGACCTCAGTGGCGAGTGATACTGAGCTGTTGTCACATGAGGGTAAGGGGACTGCTGCCAATGTTTTGACATAAGCTGTGGACAGAGGGAGTGCTTGTCTCACAGAGTGGAAACATGTCATCCTAAAATGAAACAGTCCACTCTTTGTCCAAAGCCCTGGGTTTCCAACACGTTTTCCACTTTCGGGCATTTACTTTTATTTATAGGTTCTTTACATCCCATTTATTTGAGATGTAAAGACAAATGGGTTTGTGTTCAGGATTTGCCAAAATCAGCTGTAACATAGACCGGTCCAACATAAATAAAACCAGACTAGTTCATTGCTCAGCATCTTATTCGAGCGTGATCAGTATTATTCAGAGCAATCAACACGGACAACAGCATCTCTGCTAAACGAAGTGAACAAAAATCAGAGCTTTTGCTCAGATGTGTCTTAGCATCAGCACCAGATTTCAAAGATACTATCAACTATTTCGTGAATTCTAAATTAAAATAGTAAAATCAAAAACAAATGCCTGAAAAGAAGCTGTTTAAAGTTTTTCCACCAGCTACATAACAGCAAAAACGTGAAACAAGGCGCTCTGGTCAGACGAGACTTAACCTTTTGGCATACACGCAAACTAGCACATTGTTCATGTGTTAGTTTGGTGGTGGCAGCATCATGGTGTGGGGACATTTTTCAGAAGACAGTGTTAGAGGCTGCAAAAGAACTGTAGCCGGGGTGGAGGTTCACCTAGTAGCAGGACGACAGCTCTGAACATACAGCCACAGCTACATGCATGGATTGAAGGTTGAGTCACTTCCTTTTGGGGGTGACACAGATGCTGGAGTTTGAACAGCAGTAATTGTTGGGGTGTGCAGTAAATGTGTAGGTAGGAATTTGATGCGTTTTGTAAGTTTGGGTGTTATAATACAGCCCTGTGTTTCAGCGACACGCACAGGGCCGTCAAATTCTGCTAGGGGTATGATGTGTAGCTTTGGGTTCAGTAATCACATAAAAATTAATTGAACCAAATTTTATGGCTGCAACGTGAGAAAAGGTGAAACTGTTCCGAGGGGAACGCCTCCGACCAGAAAAAGGGTGAGGTGTGCTTTTGGGTGACTTTCGGTTGAATGTCCGTCTTACCTTTGCTTCACACATCTTGTGGACCACGATCTTGCACTCTGCAACCAACGAGAAGAGGAGCTGGTTTAACACTGAGAATCAACTTTGAAGTCCATGAAAAAAGACAGCCAGGATGATCTTGTCTGCCTGCATCCCCGCTGGTCAGGCCCGACTCTGGACCTGCTGCAACATGATCTGACAGAGGTGTGTGTTTGTGTGTGTGGACTCACCCTTGCAGAAAGCTCCCGGGTTGTCAATGTTCTGCTGGCACACGTCACACACCCGTCGTTTCTTGAAGCTCTTCGCTGTGAAGGCGTGACTCGTCGGCTTGGTGAGCTGGAGCAACACAAAGGCCGATCACCAATGCAGGATTATGCAGCGTATGCACGAAAACACAAACGCTGCTCCTGAGAGGAAAGCTTTGTTTCAGCGATGCCAAACTGAAAAGAGCATGAAAACTCTCCCAACTGCGAGTGTGTGACGTCGTGACGAGCCAAGGTTTGGTGGTTTTCTTGTCATTTCCTCGGGGCATCTTGGTTCAGATTGTACCCCTGCATTGCTGCTGTCAGTGCGGATGAGTGCTGTTTCAGCGACACACCGGCATGCACACGGATAGACTGCTGTAAACTCAGCATCCTCCACGAAAGAATACCTGTCATCTCACACTGTCTTTTAAAATGCTCTGATTCTGTCTCGGTCTGTGGGCCGATTGCATGACGAAACACTGGAGGTTCAGCTGCTCATTTCCATCTCCCTTCTTTTTTGAATTTGTACAGGCAAGCTGAATGCGACCGAACGTACCGTTGAGCACATTTATTGTATAAATTATGTTTTTTCTTATCTTGTCCTTTTTCCAGATACACCTTCAAATCGTGTTGTGTGACGTTTTCTCTAACGTGATATTGAGCTAAGATCTTTGTTCAGCATTGCAAGGTGGGAGCTACCTGGACAGTGTTAGCAGCTATGTAAATATAAACTTGGAGTTTCTGTTGGCAAAGGAAAACATAAGTCTGACAGAAGTAGACTCAACTATTTACTTCTGGAATACAGTTTCATATACACTGACTTACAAAAGTATTCACACACTTTAAGTTCCCCCCCCCCCCATTTTCTCCTAATACAGCCACTAACTTTAATGTATTTTACTTGGGTTTTGTGTGATGAACCAAATGAAATTATGTAAAACGGCTTTATTTCATTAAAAACCGGTAAACTGCATGCAGGCTTAGATCTAATCCATTTTTGCAGCTTCTGACACGTTGGCCTTCATGATCTCCCTGTATTTCCCTAATGCACTTTCCTGTCCCCGCTAAAGGACGACATTCCCCCAGCATGATGCTGCCACCCCCATGTCTCAAGTTGGCGATGGTGTATTCATTGTTTCCAGAGTTTATTTTTCTTTTGTGTGTTTACTCATGTTGCCTAACGACCCTTACAGAGCAGCTGCATTTTACCAGGAATAAACTACACACTTGTAAACTCTATATAACACATAAGTGACTTTGGGAGCAATTAGTTAGTACTGAATTTTATTTATTTTATTTCAGAATATCGCAGTAAAACAATGCTGAATGCAATCCCATGGTATGCTTTCTGGTTGGTGAAAGCAGTGGCGCAATACACATTATTCAGGTGGATGCGAAAACATAAATCGGCGCCGCACCCCCTCCGAGGGAAGGAACGTCGGAGTGAAGGAGCGACGCTCACCCGCCCGAGGCGACGATACGTGAAGTGTAAAAATCGCTACATTTACCTCGTTATGTGCGAGAGGTGAAGGAGCGTGAGGCGCGCTGAAGTGTATGGGAAAACATAATCGGTGTGTCGCCCCCTCCAGATGGGGTTTTGGCGCCCCCTCTGGTGCTGCGCCCCTATGCGTTGGATACGCTGCATACCCACTTTTTGCGCCTCTGGGTGAAAGGTGCGTCTTTTTTCCGCTTCACAATTATGCACTACTTTGTGTTGGTCTCATACATTAAAATTTGTGGTTATAAAGTGACAAAATGTGAATAAGTTCAAGAGATATAAACACTCAGGGTTCTGTAATATTACTGTCTGAAAGATTTGTTCAAAATAAATGAGAGATATTATGCTTTATCTAAGCTTAAAATACAAATTATAAC